ATCAATCTGAAAACAATACCAACAGGGACAACAGGAAAAATTTAACTTTTAGATGTTTTTAGAATTTGGAAAAATTAGATTCAACATTTTTCAGACAATATTATTCTGATAAATTATAATATAAATCTACATTTGAGAAATAACATTATCAAGCTGCAATCTTTGGTCCATAATCAATTACCGTCACCACGATGACACATAAACACGTTTAAAAATACTTTTGGTATACAAGTGAATACATTGATAAAAAAAAACAGAACCATTCGAAAATTGATATTCGTATTCGCATTCGTAATTCTTTGATACAAAGCTATTGTCACAATAAACATTGAGACCCAAGTACCGTATCTGTCAGTGATGAGTCATTTTTAATGATTTTCGTTCGCAAAAATTACATACTTCTATAAAATCGTAATAGAATGCGTTTAAGGGCTGTTGTGCCGTAACATCTCGGAGACGAAGGAGTGTTCGGTCGAGAGGTTAGGGCTAAGATATTTTTGGGATCGTTGCCGGTTAAGTTAGAAGTTAAAACTCGCGTGAATATAACAAAAAAAAGTAGGTTTATTGAAACAACCAAAAGAGGTACAAGTAGTTCGACGTTCATCGATTTGTAAAGTATAGGCACCGTTCGGTTATTACCTATCCCTTGTACCGAGTCTACTCCACGAGACCACCTTATCCGTTCGGATACTAATCGTAGAGTGTCGATTTTCGGAGGTACAGCCATAAGCTGCACTTCCGAAAACGTGTTTATTGTGCGATTTTCAATTTCTTTAGCGCATTGCTACACGCGTGGACTACTTGGCCTGGCGTTTTTCTTTGGTGTCAGAAGACTCCCGGCGCAACAGGGTATAACAATTGAAAAACGTCATATTCACAGTATCTGGCGTTGTGAATTTCAAAATTTAAAGTCCACAACTGGATTCGGCGACCTCCAAAACCCTTAGGATACAAGAGATCTAGAGACCTTGCGAACGTACGAGAAATGCCGTCAGAAGGGCGTCAGGAAACGAAGAAGTGGTTTTGGTAAGCATACAACCGAACGTTATTGAAAAAATTAAGCTTCTCAATTAACAAATAAAAAGAGTGTCCTAATAATTGGCAATGCAAATTGAAGCAAGATAGGAACCGACCAAAATGCATTTTTTCATTCATCATGAGGATTAACCTCCAATCGGCTCCATTTAAATATCTCGACTGGAAATATGCAAAACTGCGAAAAGCGCCCTTGAGGAGCCCAACTTTAGGCGTTGATTTCACCTGTATGAACCTAGCATCTCAACTATTAGCATCTCACAAATAAACTTTATATTTACTTGCATCCATCATAGTTCCACAGTTCTTGATAAGTTTTAACAATAGTTCAATTGATTTATCCCCTAAATCCACGTTTTTAAGAAATGAGATGCTAACTTCTCGTACCGCTTGTCAGCATCTCATCGAATTTCACATATATGAGCATAGAGGAAGAAAATCCTGCAGAGTTCTATCCCCTAGGAAAGTTATCTCAATAGTTCTAACGAATAAACCACGTGGGAAACAGTTTTATCATATTTATCAGCATCTCAGCCATACTATAGTGAGATGCTGACATTTAGGGGTGAGTTCCGGCGTCCCTCGCGGGTGGAATCCACAGTTCTAATTAGCCTGCATACCCTCGAAAAGAGTTCCGGCCTCTCATCATCTCTAAACAATTATTAACAATTTTATCAGCATCTCAGTTATATTATAGTGATAGAACAAATCTTACAACGTCCGTGTCATTGGTTCTGGATCACGCTAAGAGTAAGATATGTCCTAGTATAAACAATTCATGTAAAACTAGAAAGTCGGTTAATGCTATAATTCATAACCAAAAACCACCTCTGTGAAGTGTACCCCCCACTGTGAAAATTAATTTTTAAAAATTAGAGTTCCACTTGTCCTCAGAAGAGTTCTAGAGTTCCTGACAGTTTTCATAAATAGTTCTGTCGATTAAATGCAAACAATAGCCATATTCGAAAATGAGAGGCCAACTTCACAGCACCCCCCCCCCCTTTTTTTAAATGTAATTTTCTGGCAGTTTTGAATAAATTAACAATAGCTCTACAGTTCTCTGCACTTTTCATCAATAGTTCTGGTCATTTTTCGCTTGAAAATAAAGTTTGAATAAATATGTTAGCCCCCCATCTTTTAAAAAATCGTATTTTTTCAGTGTTCCGAATAGTTCTCAAAGAGTTCTACAGTTCCCTATACGTTTTGGGTACAATACATATCCAGATTCCGTCAAAAAATCATTTTCAAATAAGTATTTCAAAAAATCAATTAATCGTATAAAATTCGATACCCCCGAAATACTGGATGGATTAATCAAGTCCAGATATTCGTTTTATAGAACTCTTTGAGAACTACCCAGAACACTCATCAGAACTCCCGGAACTCTTAATTTTTTTTTCAAATCTACCCTGTTACGTCCTATGCGTGAGCGACCGTATGCGGGAGCATCAGGGAGCTAGCATAGGTGTTGAGATCAAAGATCATGTAAAAGGTATTTGGTTCTTGCCACTTTAAGGTGCTAAAGCACGCCTATTTGCGTTTATGTCCCTTGGTCGATAGTCAAGATGAGGATCACAACAGGTACTAAATAGATTCATTTGAAAAACTCACTCCTTCTACGTGAGTTTGGTTGAAGCTACTGGTAAAGGGTTTATCTGGATTTAGGAGCTAATAGGTTCAGGTCTCGAAATCAAGAGAAGAAAGTATAGTTTAACTCAATATAATAAATGATAGACAGAAATACAAGTAGGTGTCGCAAGTATATGCAATAGTAAGTGTGCGCTAATCTACTAACTAAATGAAATCCGAATACAATGTATGTGTGATCGTCAACTTCTGTAGCGTGAGCTACAAAGATATATATATGTATAGATGTAAGAATGTGAGTTACTTACCGGTGGATGAGTAGAGGAAGAGAGACGGCGCTCGGTTCTCGACGATAGTGAAATAGATTTGGTTGAACGGGAGATTCTTGGTCCAGCCCTAAGGTGGACACTCGCCTAGACGAATGCTTATTGAAATGCCAAGAATTAAGTTCTTTTCGCGCGGACGTTCGGCACTGAAGTGATACACTTTTCGCTTGGGTCCTAAGGCAAGCTAGATCAGAATAGGCCCTAAGGTATTTGATCGGCACAACACTTAACTGGTGCGGACAATCGGCTCAAGACTCAAAAAGGAATACTGCTCTGCCGGAGGATTGATCAGTAACTGAGGATGATCGGCGTTGGAGTTCGTAAGGAAGATTCTGGGTTTGGTGGGGATTGAATGCAATGTCAGGAAATTTCATGGAATTTGGATACGTGTTATGGCGTGATCGGGACGTTCGTGTCCGATCGTTCAATAAGGTTCATATTACGGGCCTTCGGTCGGGGATTCTTCTTCGGATTAATTTGTTGTCAGGATTATCTTGGTGGTGAGATGGGTACGAGGGTGACGGGTAAGAATTCTGCTGTGCGCGGTATTCGTGGTGCCATAACAAAAGATGCTCTTTGAGCGTCTCGATTTTAGATGTTCTGTTCAGCATTTCTGCACGTGCCGTTTTTGTTCTTTGTTTGCCGTGATCTCTCTCTCTTCCTGCGCATCCACCGACATGATCGAAGTGTTGGTGTGATTTCTATAAATGTGTGAAAGTATGAGATGTCGTGTACAGTATAGTATGAAATGATGATATCCCTTAGTTATTAATATATATGTATATATAATCTATGATTTATAATAATTAACCCATGTTCGTCGAGGATCGGTTACATCTGTCGTGGTCTCTGACCTTTGCTAATGAGGTACTGGAGGGTGCTGAAGGGGGGGGGGGCAATGGGGTTGCGTTGCGTCGGACGTAACAACTCTACTTGCTACAGAGAATCTTCAAAGTTCCGGAACTCTTTCAGTTTTAATTTGTCAGCTTTGTACCATTAGAATTATCAACAGAACTCTTTGAGAACTATTTTTCGACTGTGGGATTGTCAAATTTTGTACTCGCTTTCAGCGCTATTCAGAACCAACGACGCAGACGTAATAAGATCTGGCTCCATCACTGTAGTATAGCTGAGATGCTGATAAATAATTTTTAATAATTGTTTAGAGATGATGAGGGGCCAGAACTCTTTTTGAGGGTATGCAGGTTAATCAGAACTGTGGATTCCACCCGCGAGGAAGGCCGGAACTCACCCCTAAATGTCAGCATCTCACTATAGTATGGCTGAGATGCTGATAAATAATTTTTAATAATTGTTTAGAGATGATGAGGGGCCAGAACTCTTTTTGAGGGTATGCAGGTTAATCAGAACTGTGGATTCCACCCGCGAGGAAGGCCGGAACTCACCCCTAAATGTCAGCATCTCACTATAGTATGGCTGAGATGCTGATAAATATGATAAAACTGTTTCCCACGTGGTTTTTTCATTAGAACTATTGAGATAACTTCCCTAGGGGATAGAACTCTGCAGGATTTTCTTCCTCTGTGCTCATATATGTGAAATTCGATGAGATGCTGACAGGCGGTACGAGAAGTTAGCATCTCATTTCTTAAAAACGTGGATTTAGGGGATAAATCAATTGAACTATTGTTAAAACTTATCAAGAACTGTGGAACTATGATGGATGCAAGTAAATATAAAGTTTATTTGTGAGATGCTAATAGTTGAGATGCTAGGTTCACACACGTGTTGATTTCACCCCCTAAAACTGTATTTCCGCCGATAAAAAAAAAACACGTGTCTCTTAGACTTTGATGGAAAATAACATATTTCAAAACAAAAGAATTTGGAGGACGACACCTGAAGTACCTTCTAATAAGTTACAAGCACGTATATATACCTACGGTGCTGGAATTGAAACAAAAGGATAAGCAGCGCAATGCAGGCAAGCATTAGATACTTGATAACACTGTACACTTAGTGACAGATTAAAATACCTATGCAAACGTGACTTTTGTGAATAATTCTGTAAAAAAAATGATACACTATAAATATCCAAATATTATCACACCGATCAGTGTCACCAATTTTATTTATATCTTTCAGTATAGGAGATCGAGACACCACTTTTTTGATCTTAATAGCATCGTATTATTTTCATTAGAATAGAGATTACACATAACATATACTCTGGGAGATGTTCGCCTCTCTGCTGCATATGTTTGACATGTATATCACAGTTGAATCAGTCTTATGCATTTCGCTTGGTAACATTCATTATTGTGGAGTGTAGAAAATCGAAGATTCTTAGAAAAATGATTCCTAAAATTAAATTGCACAACATTAACCTTGCATAAATAGATGATTTAAAGGCAATGAAAATTGTGAACGTTGACGATTCTGCCTCTGTAACTGAATTCATTAAATTCATTATCCATTGAAATGGTATACATAGAAGTTAATAAGTGCATTCACGTTTACTCTAAAATGCATCAGGCTTTCTAGGCAATCGTATTATTTCAAGGCCTTGGTTGTGTAATCGATATCACAGTTTTCTTTTGGATTATGAACAGTGGTATATTTCTTTTTTTGTGATCGTTGAATAACGCGACGTAGGAATTTTTCGTTAAATATAATTAGCCATTATTCTCGTAAATATATCAGCTACGGATCTAATATCGCGAATCAAACGTATACGTGATTATTGTGATATTTTCATGCATTGTATGCCAATGACAGTAGTAAGTTTTTTTAATATTAAGCGTAATAATACGATTTCGCTATATTTTATACCCCAGTAATAGTGAAAAAATGAGCCCTCTTGCTAATATTCATTTGTTACTGGCCCACTATCTAATACGTAAAACATTATATCACCACCGTCCTCGCCGAAAATATATGCATTTCCCAATACAGATTCTGTTAGACGGCTATCCGATTCACTTATACTGAGTTGCGGCACTTCTGTTAATGATAAATCAGCAGTATCCGATGTAGTAGTTTGTTCAATTCCTGCCACTTGTAGTAATATCTCTTGTCCTGAAACAGAGAAAAATATTAACAACGCATACTTTGAATTAAGAGCTGGAAAACATTCAAGAATTATAAGTAGGCGATCACTTAAGGGGTAATAATAGAGATCTAAGGCAGCGATCGTAAATTTAATACCCAGAATATCCTAAACAGAGCAAAGAACTTGATAAATATTTGTTCTCTAAGAAGATCTGGTTACACATTCTGTAAAAGTAACAATCTTTCAAATGTCTCGTGAACAATTTAAACTGAATAAAAAAACAGACAATCAAATTTTAAAGGTGAACCTGACATATCTTTTAAATTTTTTCTCGAATTTTTCCTTAAGTTTGGGCCTAATCATTACACTGAGAAAATAAAGTTACCAAACCAAAAAATCCTTTGTTTAACTTAAATCCAATCGACACAACTAATTCTTTTAATCGAAATAAGTGCTTATCGGTTAACTGAGCGATATTCGAGCATTGATCCAAATGTCTCATATCGTTCTGAGTTCTACATATTTCAAACAATAAGACACATCTTGAACGTCATTAAATTGATGTCCGTTAAATTAAGAAGACCGTATAAAGCAAGCATCTCATTCGATTCAAAAAATATTCCATGCAATCCGTAAATGTTCCATCAGATCAAATGAACATTTCTCAATCCAACGCCATATTTTTATCTTGAAATAATCGTCACTATCGTAATCACATTCACTTCCAATAGTCCGCTATTACGGTTGCGCCATGATTGGTTATGAATATTAAGGAAAACAAACTTCCTCCCTCGACCGCTAGGACATGCTCGAACCTGCAGAGTGTAGAGCAGTGTAGAGTGAGAGCAACATGTGCAATAGCCGACGTGGCATAGTAACTGGCACGTGGAGCTGAGCGGTGTACACTGAACCACAAGAATGGTGACAACGGTAGACGCCGTGCGGTGAGGTAAGAAAGGAGATTGGGCGGCGCCTGCTCGCGTATCTTGGCCTGTGCGTACGACGCAGAAAGCGCTGCGGTGCGAGCGAGACACCAGAGCGTCGCTCGGTGCGTCCTTGTTGCACAGCACGACTGTAAGCGAGACGCCAACAAGGCCCTTCATGCGCAATAAGGAGCTTGGTGGGGGACCGCTCGTGTTCGGTGGCACGCTTTCCCCCTCCCTCTCAGACTAACGCTCTATGGACGAAAACAGCTACTACCCCGATAAGAAACGAGAAGGAGCTATGGGACTTTCGGTAGTGGAAATGAGGTAGACTTTTCGATTATCCATCCTCGTCAAACAGCGTTAGTAAGACAAAGAGAGATATATGCGACGTGGTGGCTAGGCACAAATGTCCCAGCGTCTAAAGCATTGAAGCGTCCTACGGTGCGTCCTTTTCGCAGAGCACGAGTATAAGCGAGACGGCAATAGGTCCCTGAGTCGCCCTTATTAACAATGCGTTAAACGCTGGGACACTTGTTCCTAGCCACCACATCGCATATATCTCTCTTAGTCTTACTAACGCTATTTGACGAGGATGGATAATCGAAAAGTCTACCTCATTCCCACTATCGAAAGTCCCATAGCTCCTTCTCGTTTCTTATCGGGGTAGTAGCTGTTTTCGTCCATAGAGCGTTAGTCTGAGAGGGAGGGGGAAAGCGTGCCACCGAACACGAGCGGTCCCCCACCAAGCTCCCTATTGCGCATGAGGGGCCTTGTTGTCGTCTCGGTTACACTAGTGCTGTGCAACAAGGACGCACCGAGCGACGCTCTGGCGTCTCGGTCGCATCGTAGCGCTTTCTGCGTCGCACGCACAGGCCAAGATACGCGAGCAGGCACCGCCCAATCTCCTTTCTTACCTCACCGCACGGCGGGTACCGTTGTCACCATTAATGTGGTTCAGTGTACGTATTTTTTGATGGTGAAGAATTTAAAACAATCCTCCCATTGGAAAGATTTTTACACCAGTGTTTTTGTGGGGGTATGTATATGTGCAACTCACCATGTAACAGAGTACAAGCGATTTGTTCAGAATTTAGTTGTGTCGTTTTGTTTTCCATTCGTTGAGTAAATTCGTTCTGCTCTACTCCTGGCACAGATGTCAACATATCTTCATCTGCAATAAATACAGAACTGTTGTATTTAAAATAAATAAGTGTATTCTTTTACAAATAATTACATACAAACCTCTTTTGTTTTCATGTTTCCCTGTGAATTCTTTAGAATTAATATCTTCGTATGTCACTTGTATTACATCGTTTTGCTGTTTTGATATATGAATCTCTTCAGTCGATAACGTTGGAGCTTTTTCAATGAGTTGATTTACAAACCCAGATTGATCCCATTTTTCTCGAAGGTTATTATGCTGACGTTCAAAGTGTCTTCGCATGCTATGTCTATGTCGTGCTGTCATTCGACAGAAGGGACAGCGGTATATCATCCCGCTATGACTTGTCTGCGTGTGACGCTTTAATTGGTACACCTGTTGTTAAAATATGCCCAATACAGAAACATAAAAATTGGAATTATTTATCAATACCAGTTAATATTATACCTTGTGAAATGATTTATGACACGATGCACAGGAATACTGCGCCGGTTTAATATGGCTTTCTACATGTTTATCGAAACTTAATTTGTTGGTAAATTGCGTTGGACAATGTGGACACTTGTACGTGATTTTCTCACCGTGCATCTGATTGTAATGTTTGAGATAATTACATTTTTGGAAGAAATTCTGAAACATTGTTAAAAAGTTTGCAGCTTGAAAAGTTTTGATATATTAATTTCAAGTAAAAAAATATATCAAAAATTTATTTTCAAAAGCAGATTACTGCTGTTTAACTAATTAACATATTTTTCGATTGTTCCAGACAGATACGTCACTGCCAGAAACATGGATCTTAAATGATTTCTAAAGTCCCTTCTTAAATATACCTGAACTACCTGTGCTGCTCTCTATAGTTGTTGTACACTATCATCAAATTCAATAAACTGAAATTTCGAGATAAAAATACCTTGTCAGTATACATATAATATATCAATATTGGATTATTTTTATGAAAAATTCATACGAAGTAGTGTATTCCTTACTGGTTCGTCGTGTCATTAGTGCACACCGTACATATTAAGAGTGTCTCGTCCCTGCTTAAAAAATACGATAGAATTCGATAAGAAACGATAAAACTAATTGCTGATTTCAATCGTTTTCTATCAGTCCTATCTGCATCAAGTTGAAGTGATGATAGAGTTTCTATTTAATGTAATCTGAACCTATCGGGTTGTTGCTTTATTGTAATAATACGATAGAAATTTAATCTATACCTATATTCGTCTATCTATGGTAATATGAAATTCACGTTCTATTACGTATATGATGCTATATGAATCATATTTTTATATGTATTAATATGAGAATGCGTAATAGGAATCGAATAGTTTTCTCTCGTCGCCAACTTATTAGAGAAGAATATGAAATAAACGATAACCTTCTTATGTGGCTTAATAACAAATGGTCTTCCCGACAATAATCTTTCGATATAAAAAATAAGAATATATACTTTCTGCAAAAGCTGTTCATCGTCAATCTACCTTAAGGATGCATTGCACGTACATTTCCCACCAAAAATCTGATTCGATTCGAATTTGAGTGCTTTGACACGAGAATAAAAGCTGAAAAAAATCGACGTCTTGGAAGATAGGAAGAACGTTTATTTTTAATAATAATGCCAAAAAGTTACTAATAAATGAATTTAAAAAATTATTTAACATATTCGATAGAAAACTTTCATATGAAATGAAGTCTCTAATTTTTCCGATAAAAAAAAGTATTCTTAATATCTCCAAGACGCTGATTTTTCTCAAATTTTTCCTTAATCGCAAGATACTCAATGAAATCAATCTTTTGGTTGAGAATTTATGTGCAATGCATTCTTAATACAGTTAACTAGCGATTAATTTGTCGTGTCATGCATAAAGTCATTCTATATAATATGCAATTAATATATGTTATATTTTTGCGAAAAATGGATGCACGCAGTATTAAAATATTGTTACGTACTATTATTTGTTTTCTGTCAAGGAATTGTACAACGTAATAAAAACGAAAATTCAATGTAAACCAACAATTGTTTACATCTTAATTTAATCATTCTTGTGGATAGTAGTATTAATATAGATATTAGTATGACGATATTGTAACATATATTTTTTATTCTATTATTTTAAAAAAAGAACAGATCACTTTATTATAGAATTATTGAATTTCAATTGTATTCGGCATCGAGGCTACGTATTCATTATTATCATACTTGATATAAATCATTTTTTGCTTAATAGATTCTATAGGTACTACCATCTTATTATTTAATGAAATACGCTCCAAATGCGAAACACGAATACATTCGCCAATCGGGACGGTTTCCATTTCCGCAACTGTGATATAGCATTGACCATCCAATTCGATGAACCATAATATTTCAACAACAACGTTCGTTTTCAATTTAACGACCGTATCATTGGTTTTTTTCGGACGCTTATACAATATACTGTGGAACACCGTGCCTTTAAATATGCATCGATTAAATACTGAACCACTGAGTAAGGGGGTTTTTCGCACTCATCCGCCGTAACCGTAAGAGTTCCTTGACGACCCGCTAACACTGCGCCGTTGGGAGTAACCGTACATCGTGACAATCGTTTGTGACTGAACAAATCTTTGCAATATTGATAGGCATATTCTGAATCGAATGGAATTCTAACCACTTTATTCTTGTATGCCATCACTTCTAAATGTCTGTCTACAATTTGCTTCCGTACTCCTTTGGGCCCATGAACACATTGTTTCAAGTTGAACATATTACTCTCATACGGGAATGTTGACGTTGCCCGTAGCGGCCCAGACTTTCGAACAGATTCCACTAAATGCAGTAAGCTATGCATATTGAATGTTATTGCTGTCGGTCCATAATGAACCTCAGTTTCTCCGGCAAACTGTATTAAATCTAAATCGCATTATCTAAGCTCTTCTTCGCTAAATTCTTGTTTCAAAAGAACAAAAACACTTCGGACTAGCAATAAAAAAGAATTCAATGCAACATTGTCGAGTTCGCCATGCAAGCAAGCGTAGCTATAAAATAACAACCACGACCGCTATTCTGTGGTTTTCAATTTCAATTTCTTTGTTAAGGGCTTCGGGAGCCGATGAATTTCATGGGGAGGCTGTATCAACGATAATCTGTTATTGATAATCTGACGCTTCGCCGGACTTAAATAGAATTTTTAACCTGGTGTAGTCCAAATATTCCACATCTGCCGCGTAACTCCCAGAAGTATCCCATGCAAGTAATCGTAGCCATATTTCCAAACACAATCAAAGAATGGCATGTCCATAAAGATGGATTCACCCTTAACTCATCTAATAGGTTTTTTCGTTTGTTTTGCATCTTTTACATCTACGTGATGACTCTCATGTGATCTTAATTCACGGTCTATTTCCATCATTGGATATCTCATAGACCCACCAATATGACGTCCATGTATGTAACACCAGCTGCATCCTTGAAATGCATTGAACTGCATTCGATTCTGCACTATAGGTCGAGCTACAGAGTCAGTGGAAACCAAGAGTACCAAAAACTTAAACTCAATCAGCAATTGATCTATATTGCTGTAGACAGTAACTCTAGCGCGCATTAAATTCTTGAGAAATTTTGACATGTAGAGATTCATAAAGTCGGATTTCGGTTCCGTTTCCGTAGTCCATAGGGCAGCTATCATGACATTTTTAAATCTCAAATCAACAGGCAATTCATTTATTGTTATTTGCAGGGGCCAGAAGCCAAGTTTTGAATTGTGAAATAAAACTCCACCATCTGTACTGACACTTAAAGTTAGTAACTTCCTTCGCCGCCCGTATTCTTTGGAAATATTCCAGTATAGTTCTCCATCGTGAATGTCCCATATCGACAAATCTTCGGTAGTGTTACGATTTTCGATAGTATTGATATTTTCCAAAAGTCTAGATAGACTATCCTGATCTTGCAACAGCATTTTTATTTGATACGCGATGTCGATACAAAGATAATAATTTGGTGATTCTGGTGACAAATTATGTTGTGCTTTGCAATCGTCACAACATCGAGTTTCATTCCGAAAGGCTGATCTTAGTACAGGCTTCCCTAAAGCCTTACGACATTCGGTACAATAAAAAACCATTGTCACAATCGACTCATCTGGGGGAGTAAGCCCTTGTGATATTTTGTAGCTACTAATGTCCCAATCTTCGAATCGCGGTCCAGACAACGTTTTAATGAGATTGAGTAGATCTAACTTTGCAGAATGTGATAAACTATGTCGAAGACTAAAACCATTTATCACCGTTAGCACATCTGATACAGAGACACCAGCTGTTTCAAACGTAATAGTATGATTTAAATCGGCGTATTGATCCTCATCAACCCAATCGTCAAAAAGTTCAGAAGAATCACTGTCCGAATAGTTATCTTCCGTGTGATGACTACGTCTAGTATCAGTTCCTGTTGATGAACGCTTCTCTGAACATTGATCTTCTTCGTTACTGTCTAGATTTTCAGAATCTGAATACTGTGAGTGTCTGTGAGATATTGGTTCCACAACATCTTCAGCATAGGGTACTGGTTCCTGAGACAGCGGACATTCTAAAAAAATTATTTTTAAAATGTCAAAGTTTTAACATCAGCATATTGAACGCCATTGTCATAGTGAAATAAACTGCATTTTCAATAATATTAGCTTACAACATCGCGTGATTGGTAGAAAGCTACAGTACTGGTACAGTGTATAGAAAAGTTAATAGAATTGTGAAAGATAATCGAAAATTTAGGAATTATTATGAATTAGGAACATATTATGCAACATGAATAGCATGAATGTGTAATGTACATATTGCGTTTTCGTAATTGATAAATATGGATACTAACCACTTGATCTTTTTCCTGATGTTGGATTTTGACTTAGCAAATCTTTCGTTTTTTCGGTTTCTCGGAAGTTTCTTCGTTATCCATCATGAATGAATATAAGATACTTACATGACTAAGCTAGAAATATATATACATTTTTTATTTTAGTATTAATGAATAATAATATCTAATATATCATGCGTAGTTAATAATACAGATGATTAATTTTGTCTTAAATAATATTTTATTATTTTTAACATTATTATTCGTTTGAAAATCGAAGAAATTAATGTTAAGTTGAAATTGCACATATGAAATCACACCACTAGATAAAAAATTATTTGAAAAGCACAACAAAATAAAACATTCCATATTTCCATGAACGATGTATTTTTTGTAGTACAGTTCATCAGTACAATTTTTTTTTTCATTTATTACATATCGTAGAGTTCAGGTTGCACCAATAGACTAAATTGGCATTACAAGGTCTGAGTATTAAACCCCAATTATGTGACAAATTGAAAATGCAAAAAATATTTGCACCAATGATCTGGGGTACAAAAAAATGTCACATATACAGTAACGTCCAATTGAAGTGCAACACTTTAATTTTTTTACATATCTATGAAAGTATGACAGATTTCGAAAAACCAAAGACATATTTTTTAGGAAATTTCCTTCCCGATCGAATACAAAATGGCCGAATGGCAGGGGTTGGAGTGAAAAAGTGCATTTTGGAACTTTTTGAAAAATTCGAGATCTAGTAGTTCCGAAAAGAAATTTATATTTCTAATTAGGGCACGAGAGAGAGCATCCTTCGGCATTGAAAAAACCCCCCCATTGAACCCCTGTAGGATCACTCTAGGGGGAGTTACACTCCCTTGAAGTGAAAACACTTAAATGGCCATAACTTCCCAACGCGCCGGCCAATCTGATCCAGTTTCTGCATAATATCATCTTTAATGATACTGCAGATTCTTACAAAATTATTGTTCTCGGAGATGATCCCGTGATGGAGATCTCGAGATTTCGCAAGCGCATCCGAAGCTTCCCCGCCATTTTTCATTAGGAATGCGATGAAATAGAAGTTTCATATTTATCCACGTCGTAGCTTCAACGTCGATTTCAACGATTAAAACGCGATTTTAAACATCCAAAAATGAGTTTGCTAAAGGGTTAAATTATCCGTTTGAAAAAACGCCTAAATTTTGCGAGTTTCGCTCGAGGCGCTTGGGGGACAATTACTTGGCGCGCGCGAGCGCCTCGAGCGGAACTCGCAAAATTGAGGCGTTTTTTCAAACGGATAATTTAACCCCTTAGCGTACTCGTATTTGGATGTTTGAAAGCGCGCTTTAATCGTTAAAATCTCAGCTACAACGTGGATAAAAATGAAACT